AAAATTCGATTTCCAATCGCTATCGTTACCCCCGGTTTTGCATTCCAAAGTTTGTCTCTGGTTGTTCTAGAAATGAAAATACCCTCCTTTATCTTTCTTTTTCTCCAGTTGTCTTATAATGCAAAATTCCCCCCGCTCTCCTCTCACGCGCTGCGATAACTCGTATCCAGAACGTGCCTCGATAAGCCAGAATGGTTTATATCTGCGTTTTATATCGCTCGCTGGTGTTCATCCCTTCTGGTCTTTAAGCTTCCACGCGTCTCTACCTCATAAACCTTGCTGCATTCGCATATGTATCGGTGAGTTATTTCTACCTTTTGGTCCGCTTTAACTTGACTTTGGGCCGCACTAGGTAACTTTTAAGGTTTGCATACGGTTTGGTGGCTACACGAGCGTGTGGTTTTAAAAGCTGCGTTGCCTTCTGCTACTCCTTTCACGTAAGATAAAGTCACGAAGGGTCGATTGTCTCCTGATGCGTTTTATGTTCTTACATGATTACGTTTTTGCCAAACTTTTAAAGAAATGTTTTGCGTACTTATTGAGTTTCAAAGCTTCGTTGATGTACCTAGCCTCTTTCCAATTTCTGTCGGGCCTTAATGAAAATATTTACGTTCGTTGTGCGGGCGATCTAACCACTGACTCGTGTTGATTGCTGTGATGTGGCATGAATTCCAAATGCTTTTTCGTATGGCCCATCTTCCTAAACACTTTTGTGCTAATACTGCTGTCTCCTGATCATGACATTAACATGTTGGGGAAAGCAAGAGAGTCATTCGCCTCCATCGCTTTGGTGAATTTGATACCTAGGCACGCGTCGTTCCAGTGCCCAGGGATTGCTCTGGAACATGGTGCTCTTTTAAAACGGCAGTCATGTCGTCTACAACATCCCCCATTATTGACCTAATGAGGAAAAGTGTCCAAAGCCTGTCGTTCCAGATTATCCACAAACGAAGTGGTTACCACCATGCTGACAGCAATTCCTACCGCCGTAAAATCGCCGTTTATCTGCAAGTAGGTGGTAGCAAGGCCAGTGCGTAAAAACCGAGTATTGCCGTGTACTTTCATCTCGGCTGGTACTTTACGATTCTATTCTCGCTGCTCATCTCGTGGATTAATCGTTCTATCGTTTCGCAAGCCTTTTCAGGGGGAATCGATGCGAAAAGGCACACTGCATCACATACCATAGCTTCATCTGCCACTATCTTCAGGTGTGAATGAAAGCACCAAAGTCTTTGGAGTCTTTGATATAGTGCTCTGTGTAATGAGGAGTCCCATAGAGGGCGATAGGTCAGGCAATTTGCACACGCGTGCGTTATCTTGCTTTGTCGTTGCATCATGCCGTATGCGTTGCTGCTCAATCGGTTCCGAAATGTGGGACGACTATCCACACATTTATAAGGTATGTGCAGCGACGCTTAGCTGTCATGTGACGTGGAAACATTCAGAGGAAACGTATCAAAATCGTATCGAAATTTGAGAGTGTAGCATGTGCTCTTTGTCAACAGTTTGCACAATTTGCCTGCGGATGCATGTAAAACGGGTTATCTTATATACTTTTGTTACCTAAGATGGATGGGTACATTAGATTGCGTGTGAATTTCTAGGTTTTTTCTTGCTGCACACCCAGATCTACTCTTCTGAATATCGTTTTCTGACCAAGGCTGAAGAAGGGATAGAGGTTTTCTCGAAAGCTCTCGTTAAATACAAGCAGGCTGGTTGGAATTTTATCTTTTCAGATTTAACCTAGATGCCTCTTCCAAGCAAAAGTTTGCTGATATTTATTGCAGGTTTATTAACTTGCTTGCCCTCCTGAGGGTCACGGTAACAACAAGAACCCACGAGGTTGTTTTGACCTTTTAAATTAAATAAGCTTCCAGGATTACGCGACGTCGGTATGTTCCAAAATATATAGAGTTGATCGGTGTCATTTTAAGTTGTTGACCTCTTCTAGCTACCCTGAGGTCCGGACGAGATGTACGTTGACATCCATGTGATCAAGAATTTTGAAATGGAACGTTGACAATTATGCCCTCATGCAAGTTATCCAATTACAACGCAGTTAAGTTTTGCTCATTGCTTGACATTAACAAGTGACCCACAGCCAATGGAACTTATCATAACTGTAAATTAAATTGTCTATCTAAGAAACCACTTTAAAGATGAATTGCTCCATCTCATAATCCGTTGTTGCATGGGATTAGACAATTCCTTAGGATATATTGTCGCTGACAGCATGATTTGACTTTCACATCCAAAAGTCACCAACCTTACAATGTACGTCTAACTTTCGTCACCAAAAGTCGGATATTCAATTGCCTGCGACTATATAAAGTTTAACTCGGCTTCACCGGACTATTCGGAGGTTATTGTGAGATAATCTTCCGAGGACAGGGGAAAATTACCTCCATTACCCCAGTGCTGGTTAATGCTCGTGGTAACACGACACCGTACTTCGGAACAGCACCAGAATACGACGCACGTACCATGTTTGAAGACGATGCTCCATCTCACTGTCGTCGCCAGGTGTCACATCGCGTCTGTAGCGCGATAACGAGGACGCCTGATGCCGATGGCGCATGCGCAGTGTGAACAGTGGAACGGGACGGCGTCGCGATGAGACGGCACATTGGCGCGTTTCGTACGTAAGAAGTCACATAGCAGGGTTGCGATTCTGTACTTTTGCCACCTGTATGAACGCTATGGTTTGCCTTGAACAGACGTTCTCTCGAGAAACGAAAATGGCACTTTCGTTTTGTTTATGAATCATCCAAACCAGTAGATTATTATTTTTATTTGATACCAATGGAAAAAACAGTACTAAAGTAACTGTAACAACGCGACCATGTTTCGAGAAAAATGAGGGATATGTCCCCCGCCCAGCGGACCCATGCCGACACGTCATCCCATCCCAGCAGTGTCCAGCCTTGGGAGTAATCGATCCTTGCCAACAAACGCTGATGACCTGTACCCCAAACTGCACTCGCAGCCAACCGCTTCGGTGCGTGCGATCGGCGGGCTACCGTTATTTGAAAGTGGCTTTTAGGATGGACATCGAAGTGTGCTCCAGAAAATGACAAACACTTGTGGCTTGATCCCGAGCAAATATGGCGAGCTTAACCTACGCAGCTCGCTAGCAAGAGGGCACCGAGCGTGCAAACAGGGTGTTTGGCGTGAGACCACGCGCATTGCAACTCAACTGAGATATATGCGAGCACAATACAGTGTGTACATGCTGTGCGATGTAGTACACGATAACATACTAGGTAGTTAGGGCCCACACCAAAAACGTTTTTGATGTGCTTCTGCCACCGAGAACAAACGCCCAGTAACACAAAAGGGTTAATTTGGCACCGGATAGCATAAGCCCGCAACAGCAGCGTACCCCGCTTTCTCTCGAGTATAGCAGCAGGCTTGCTAAGGATAAAAAATATGCTAAGCATCCTCCTAACATGTATTTTCCTCCATTATGGATTACAAACATAAAACCACACGTACGCTTGCAGAAGGTGAACTGTGACACCGCAGTGCAAAATAGTTTGCACCATGATAATGAGCTTGTGAACTACTTCAAGGCCAGGTTTGAAGAGCATTGTAATAGTTTGATGTTGAATGTGAATAGGAATGAGTGTGTGAGCTGTTTTCACCCTGCGTGACGCAGCAAATAGCTCATCTGTGATCGCAGTTGTCTGCAGTTGGACGTTACTATTCACTTCACAGTTGGAGGAAGAGGGAGAGCAGCATTGCTCGCCGCTCTCGCCACCGGCTTATCAGTGCGTGTATTGGGGATGAGTAGGAGACATCAGTTATTATCGGAAAACAATGCCGGTGCACGTGGGTGACAGCTCGCAATGAACGTGCGTAGTGCGCAGGCGTAACGTTGACTGTGAGGATTGCGGTCCGAACGTGATGACAAGCCGCAGGCTGCCGCTATCAGACAGTGTTCGTTGATCAGAGTTTCTACATGCCTGGGCGTTGGCTGCACAGTGTCATGTTGCTCCGAATCGGAATACTCTGTCTCATCGTCGATCATTCGTCCACGAGTAATGCTTTATGGATCATATATTTTGGCGAGAATTTGTAATGATCCCGTTAAAGACACGCTCATTAGACTTTTTTACCACGCAGATGTTATTTCATCGATCTCATGCACAAATTTGGTAAAGTAAAGCAAGCATCCAAATATCGAATGTCGGACCGCTGCAGGGCGGCATTAGAAAGTATATGAGCTTAACAAAAAGTGCATGGGACGATTGTTCAAATAATATTCGTGAAGGCCTAGGATCATAAATCATGTGATCAGTCAACTACAGGCGACATTATAACTACCCAGCTCACTGTCCAACTCCTTGATCTCCACTTATGTGGTGCGCAGATCTCCTGCTGACTACGGCAATCGCTAATGTCTTCTCAGTCATTCTGTCTGGGCACACTGGCTAGGCAAACTCGCCGCAATCCACGACCAACGGGCACCTGGAGATATATTTGTCAGCGCATGCAGCTACCACATGTTAGCTAATGACGACCCAGGACTTCCGTACGTACGCGCACGGCAAGTGGGTGGTAAACACGGATTGACGAAGCCTTTAAATGAAAGCCATTAACTGTGTTTAAATATGCTAACTACAGACACGTATCGAGCTTTGTTTAGCTTGCCAATGCGTGTTCTCGCAACACCCATGATGTAGCCCGGCTGCTGCTAACCAAAAGTCTGTTTGGTTGCGGCAACCTAATGCTGGTCTCATATGCATAAGCCATTAAACAGTATGCTATATCAAACATTATTGTGGAATAAACGCAAGCCGGACGAATCAACGCACGTAATGAGAGTGTTCCAAATGTTTAATTGGCATCATGTAGCCAAGATAGCATGTAGACAGCCTCGATGTGCATACACACCTGATGACAAATCAACTTGTCAATGTCGAATAGGCAACCGCCATTCTTTCCGATACTTGTACTACAGCACTTGTGGGCACGCTGTAAAGATGGCATGCAGCTAGTCACGTTTGGAACCGTTTGGTTTTCGTTTGCGCCGGACCTGTCTTCCGCCTGCACAGACAGCGGCAGCAACACTTGCCCAGTGCCACGAGCAGCTTCAGCACCAGCACCAGTACTGCCAGCAGGAAGGCGACCACGTCGAGCGAGTAGTACTGGAAGAAGTTGAGGTCGGCGCCCACCGACCTGAGGTGCGGCGCGCCGCCGTGCCGGATCACGTGCTCCACCCAGTGCACGGCCAGGTCACGGGGCGGCACCGGCTGAGAGGCCAGCAGCTCCTGGCGGTAGCGGGACGCCGCCCGGTGCCCGGCAGACATGGCGGAGCGGATGGCCGCCTGCAGCGTCTCGGACGTCAGGCTCTCCCACGTCAGGATCTCCGGCCACGCCAAGATCAACAGCGTGAGCCGCGTTACAATGCTGGTCTACCGTCACTGGCATGGCCACCATGGGAACGCCATGACAGAGAGCTTCCAGAACGCTGGCAAAGCCGCCGTGCGAGATGAACAGCCTGCACTTGCTGTCACCCAGGATGTCCTGCTGTGGCAGCCACTTGGACGGCAGGATGTTGGCCGGTATGTTGGTGCGGTCTGTGGTGTCCCACTTGAGCAGGACCTTGAACGGCATCGCACCGAGGGCGTTGAGCACAGCCGAGCGTTGGCCCGCAGACATGTCCTGAGGACGTACCACGGAGCCCAGACTGAAGAATATGTACTCTGAGTCGCCGAGGAAGCTGGTCAACTCCTTGGACAGGGGCTTCGCGTCCGCACAATGCAGTCCACCCACCTCGATGACATTGGGCAGCAAGCGGCTTGTGGTAGTCGATCATTGGGTTGCTGTTGAGTAAGGACAAGGCTGGCATTGCGTTCGATCTCCCTGGCTGGAGGAATCACGCCATCGCCGAACTTTCTGCAACCATTTTGTCCGCATACCTTGCGTACACGATGTTGGGTGCGGAGTGCAAAAGACGTACCCCAGGAATGTTTTTGACGCGTTCCATAAAACTCATCTGGTCAGTTGACGCAGTGAGTGGAAGAGGTTGAAGAGCAGGAAGCGTCGGTGAGCCCAACACACTTGTCATAACTGGATAGTAAGAGATCGGAGATATCAGAATGAATGGTGCCTTGAGCAGATGTGCCATGAAATAGAAAGGGTAACCGAGCGGACCAAACATGACCAGGTCGAATTTCTCTTTCAAAAGCTCATCGACCTCCTTGCTCGCTAATGTGGCACGTGGACCCTCAGACATGAATGTTGCGTACTGCTTAAATCCAGCCTGGATGCCTTTTTCATTCATCTTAAACATGTTCGGCATGTTTTCGTCCGCATACAGCGTCGCAAGTTCATCCGGTACAACCTCCTTGATGCCTTTGACAGGAGTTGAAGGCTTGAACCCGTTGAAGAACACCACTTCATGGCCTCGGGAATTGAGAGCAGTGCCCAATCCGTAGAATACGACTCTTTAGAGATTTCGCACCGATGGGTGAAGAACATCAGAATGCGGGCACTCTCGACACCGAAGACGGCGCAGAAGAGCAGCAGCAGAGCTCTCACACGAGACGCCTGAAAAGATCCAACACATGGCAGGTGAAGACGGCTGTGATGAATATGATAGGATATCAAGCGCAGACTTACTACTCTATGGCGAAAGATATTCCACATGAGACACATGAGGTTAGTCCAAGAGACGACCGCCGTACGCAGGTAAGACGGCGTTTCCGTGGGTTTTCTCATGGAGTTTCCGTGGGACCAAACCGTGTGCACGTTTCCGTTGGGGCGTTAGGCGCGAGTTATTTGGCATTGCCACAAATGTGTGACCGCAACGTCCAAAAAAGGCAGCGTTCTGTTGACTCATAACTGAGCTAGATCTGTGAAAGACCTGACGTGTTGGTAACATTGCATGACTAGCAACCAGACATAAGTGCAACGCTAGGGAATCAAAACCCGTCCTCATTTATCACCCTTTCTCACAGTCCACATAAAACTCCCATCCCCTTCGTTGTGTTATGTGAGTTACGATGCCCAAAACAGAAACAACCGCGCATAATCAAATGAAAAATGTTATCACATGCGCTTATGCACGTGCGGCACGTAACGTGAGCAATTCCGCCAGCTTTGACTCCCTTGATCTTCGTGTTACAACGTTAAGGCCATGCCAAACACAGGTTGCTTTTGCGCTCGACTGTAGATACCTTACAGGCCGAGGATGTTAACAGCAGTTTTAGTCACGTTTGCTGGGCTGATGCAAACGTGGACTTGATCTGTTTAGACCAGGCGTTTTTCTCTAGTATTTATGGGGCGGTGGCTCCATCGAACGATGCCAAGGTCTGATTCGCTCTCACCCACCCAGTGACCAGATTCGTCAGCTTCACGGAGTACACCAACACCAACTCCACGGAGTACGCAGACCTGTGGGTAGACTTATTTTGTGGTTTTCGGTGCCTAGGTCTTCACCTTTGCTCAAAACAAAGCCAAACAAGGTCAAACTCTACATCGGGGCCCGAAATGTCTCCAGACCTTCCGATATAACCACCTTTAACCTAGATATGTTTCAAAATATTATTGACCTGGGACATTGTAAATGTAAAAAGACAAAATACAACAAGCTTGCTTGTATTCAACGTGAGCTTTCGGACAATTTATGCCGTCTGCAGCCTTAGTCAATGATATTCATGAAAACAAATTTTGGTCGCATCATGAAAAAAGCTTGAAGTAACATGGCCACCTAATTTGCCCACCCATATTATTCAACAAAACAAGAATAGATGACCGGTATTTACATTTCACACGCAGATAAACGATGCAAACCGTTACGAAGAATACATGCGACGCACCCACAATTTCGATACGATTTCAGCTCATTCTTCTGAATGTTACGATGCTACATGACAGCTAACTGTCACGGCGCATACCTCTTAAACGTGTGCATAGTCATTCCACACTTCGGAATCGATTCAATAATGGCGCATATGACATCGCAACAGTAAAACAAGATAACACAAAGGTGCACAAGTGCTCTGGCCCCAGGCCTGTTATCACGTCCCATATTACGCAAGGCCCCTGACCGACTGCTCTTTTTCTGTTCTAGTCCTGGCATTTCAAATTCGATTTCCAATCGCTATCGTTACCCCGGTTTTGCATTCCATAGTTTGTCTCTGGTTGTTCTAGAAATGAAAAATACCCTCCTTATCTTTCTTTTTCTCCAGTTGTCTTATAATGCAAATTCCCCCCGCTCTCCTCTCACGCGCTGCGATAACTCGTATCCAGAACGTGCCTTCGATAAGCCAGAATGGTTTATATCTGCGTTTTATATCGCTCGCTGGTGTTCATCCCTTCTGGTCTTTAAGCTTCCACGCGTCTCTACCTCATAAACCTTGCTGCATTCGCATATGTATCGGTGAGTTATTTCTACCTTTTGGTCCGCTTTAACTTGACTTTGGGCCGCACTAGGTAACTTTTAAGGTTTGCATACGGTTTGGTGGCTACACGAGCGTGTGGTTTTAAAAGCTGCGTTGCCTTCTGCTACTCCTTTCACGTAAGATAAAGTCACGAAGGGTCGATTGTCTCCTGATGCGTTTTATGTTCTTACATGATTACGTTTTTGCCAAACTTTTAAAGAAATGTTTTGCGTACTTATTGAGTTTCAAAGCTTCGTTGATGTACCTAGCCTCTTTCCAATTTCTGTCGGGCCCTTAATGAAAATATTTACGTTCGTTGTGCGGGCGATCTAACCACTGACTCGTGTTGATTGCTGTGATGTGGCATGAATTCCAAATGCTTTTTCGTATGGCCCATCTTCCTAAACACTTTTGTGCTAATACTGCTGTCTCCTGATCATGACATTAACATGTTGGGGAAAGCAAGAGAGTCATTCGCCTCCATCGCTTTGGTGAATTTGATACCTAGGCACGCGTCGTTCCAGTGCCCAGGGATTGCTCTGGAACATGGTGCTCTTTTAAAACGGCAGTCATGTCGTCTACAACATCCCCCATTATTTGACCTAATGAGGAAAAGTGTCCAAAGCCTGTCGTTCCAGATTATCCACAAACGAAGTGGTTACCACCATGCTGACAGCAATTCCTACCGCCGTAAAATCGCCGTTTATCTGCAAGTAGGTGGTAGCAAGGCCAGTGTTTAAAAACCGAGTATTGCCGTTTACTTTCATCTCGGCTGGTACTTTACGATTCTATTCTCGCTGCTCATCTCGTGGATTAATCGTGCTATCGTTTCGCAAGCCTTTTCAGGGGGAATCGATGCGAAAAGGCACACTGCATCACATACCATAGCTTCATCTGCCACTATCTTCAGGGTGTGAATGAAAGCACCAAAGTCTTTGGAGTCTTTGATATAGTGCTCTGTGTAATGAGGAGTCCCATAGAGGGCGATAGGTCAGGCAATTTGCACACGCGTGCGTTATCTTGCTTTGTCGTTGCATCATGCCGTATGCGTTGCTGCTCAATCGGTTCCGAAATGTGGGACGACTATCCACACATTTATAAGGTATGTGCAGCGACGCTTAGCTGTCATGTGACGTGGAAACATTCAGAGGAAACGTATCAAAATCGTATCGAAATTTGAGAGTGTAGCATGTGCTCTTTGTCAACAGTTTGCACAATTTGCCTGCGGATGCATGTAAAACGGGTTATCTTATATACTTTTGTTACCTAAGATGGATGGGTACATTAGATTGCGTGTGAATTTCTAGGTTTTTCTTGCTGCACACCCAGATCTACTCTTCTGAATATCGTTTTCTGACCAAGGCTGAAGAAGGGATAGAGGTTTTCTCGAAAGCTCTCGTTAAATACAAGCAGGCTGGTTGGAATTTTATCTTTTCAGATTTAACCTAGATGCCTCTTCCAAGCAAAAGTTTGCTGATATTTATTGCAGGTTTATTAACTTGCTTGCCCTCCTGAGGGTCACGGTAACAACAAGAACCCACGAGGTTGTTTTGACCTTTTAAATTAAATAAGCTTCCAGGATTACGCGACGTCGTATGTTCCAAAATATATAGAGTTGATCGGTGTCATTTTAAGTTGTTGACCTCTTCTAGCTACCCTGAGGTCCGGACGAGATGTACGTTGACATCCATGTGATCAAGAATTTTGAAATGGACGTTGACAATTATGCCCTCATGCAAGTTATCCAATTACAACGCAGTTAAGTTTTGCTCATTGCTTGACATTAACAAGTGACCCACAGCCAATGGAACTTATCATAACTGTAAATTAAATCGTCTATCTAAGAAACCACTTTAAAGATGAATTGCTCCATCTCATAATCCGTTGTTGCATGGGATTAGACAATTCCTTAGGATATATTGTCGCTGACAGCATGATTTGACTTTCACATCCCAAAAGTCACCAACCTTTCAATGTACGTCCTAAGTTTCGTCACCAAAAGTCGGATATTCAATTGCCTGCGACTATATAAAGTTTAACTCGGCTTCACCGGACTATTCGGAGGTTATTGTGAGATAATCTTCCGAGGACAGGGGAAAATTACCTCCATTACCCCAGTGCTGGTTAATGCTCGTGGTAACACGACACCGTACTTCGGAACAGCACCAGAATACGACGCACGTACCATGTTTGAAGACGATGCTCCATCTCACTGTCGTCGCCAGGTGTCACATCGCGTCTGTAGCGCGATAACGAGGACGCCTGATGCCGATAGCGCATGCGCAGTGTGAACAGTGGAACGGGACGGCGTCGCGATGAGACGGTACATTGGCGCGTTTCGTACGTAAGAAGTCACATGGCAGGGTTGCGATTCTGTACTTTTGCTACCTGTATGAACGTTATGGTTTGCCTTGAACAGACGTTTTCTCGAGAAACGAAAATGGCACTTTCGTTTTGTTTATGAATCATCCATCATCATATGAATCACCAATCATCAATCATCAATCAAACCAGTAGATTATTATTTTTGTTTGATACCAATGGAAAAAACAGTACTAAAGTAACTGTAACAACGCGACCATGTTTCGAGAAAAATGAGGGATATGTCCCCCGCCCAGCGGACCCATGCCGACACGTCATCCCATCCAGCAGTGTCCAGCCTTGGGAGTAATCGATCCTTGCCAACAAACGCTGATGACCTGTCCCAAACTGCACTCGCAGCCAACCGCTTCGGTGCGTGCGATCGGCGGCTACCGTTATTTGAAATGGCTTTTAGGTGGACATCAAGTGTGTTCCAGAAAATGACAAACACTTTGTGGTTGATCCCGAGAAAATATGGCAAGCTAGGCACGCAGCACGCTAACAAGAGGGCACCGAGCGTGCAAACAGTGTGTTTGGCGTGAAAGCACGCGAGCGTTTCGAAAGTTTACTGTACATCATGTAAATAAAATACCATGTCAACAGACTCGACCTGCGAACACACCCCATGACAAATAAACGTATTGATGCCGAAAAGGCAATCGTCATTCTTTCAGATACTAGAACTACAGCACTTGTGGGCACGCTGTAAAGATGGCATGCAGCTAGTCACGTTTGAACCGTTTGGTTTTCGTTTGCGCCGGACCTGTCTTCCGCCTGCACAGACAGCGGCAGCAACACTTGCCCAGTGCCACGAGCAGCTTTAGCACCAGCATCAGTACTGCCAGCAGGAAGGCGACCACGTCGAGCGAGTAGTACTGGAAGAAGTTGAGGTCGGCGCCCACCGACCTGAGGTGCGGCGCGCCGCCGTGCCGGATCACGTGCTCCACCCAGTGCACGGCCAGGTCACGGGGCGGCACCGGCTGAGAAGCCAGCAGCTCCTGGCGGTAGCGGGACGCCGCCCGGTGCCCGGCAGACATGGCGGAGCGGATGGCCGCCTGCAGCGTTTCGGACGTCAGGCTCTCCCACGTCAGGATCTCCGCCACGCCAAGATCAACAGCGTGAGCCGCGTTACAATGCTGGTCTACCGTCACTGGCATGGCCACCATGGGAACGCCATGACAGAGAGCTTCCAGAACGCTGGCAAAGCCGCCGTGCGAGATGAACAGCCTGCACTTTCTGTCACCCAGGATGTCCTGCTGTGGCAGCCACTTGGACGGCAGGATGTTGGCCGGTATGTTGGTGCGGTCTGTGGTGTCCCACTTGAGCAGGACCTTGAACGGCATCGCACCGAGGGCGTTGAGCACAGCCGAGCGTTGGCCCGCAGACATGTCCTGAGGACGTACCACGGAGCCCAGACTGAAGAATATGTACTCTGAGTCGCCGAGGAAGCTGGTCAGCTCCTTGGACAGGGGCTTCGCGTCCGCACAATGCAGTCCACCCACCTCGATGACATTGGGCAGCAGCGGCTTGTGGTAGTCGATCATTGGGTTGCTGTTGAGAAGGACAAGGCTGGCATTGCGTTCGATCTCCCTGGCTGGAGGAATCACGCCATCGCCGAACTTTTCTGCAACCATTTTGTCCGCATACCTTGCGTACACGATGTTGGGTGCGGAGTGCAAAAAGACGTACCCCAGGATGTTTTTGACGCGTTCCATAAAACTCATCTGGTCAGTTGACGCAGTGAGTGGAAGAGGTTGAAGAGCAGGAAGCGTCGGTGAGCCCAACACACTTGTCATAACTGGATAGTAAGAGATCGGAGATATCAGAATGAATGGTGCTTTGAGCAGATGTGCCATGAAATAGAAAGGGTAACCGAGCGGACCAAACATGACCAGGTCGAATTTCTCTTTCAAAAGCTCATCGACCTCCTTGCTCGCTAATGTGGCACGTGGACCCTCAGACATGAATGTTGCGTACTGCTTAAATCCAGCCTGGATGCCTTTTTCATTCATCTTAAACATGTTCGGCATGTTTTCGTCCGCATACAGCGTCGCAAGTTCATCCGGTACAACCTCCTTGATGCCTTTGACAGGAGTTGAAGGCTTGAACCCGTTGAAGAACACCACTTCATGGCCTCGGGAATTGAGAGCAGTGCCCAATCCGTAGAATACGCCCTTTAGAGATTTCGCTCCGATGGGTGAGAACATCAAAATGCGGGCACTCTCGACACCGAAGACGGCGCAGAAGAGCAGCAGCAGAGCTCTCCCAGGAGACGCCTGAAAAGATCCAACACATGGCAGGTGAAGACGGCTGTGATGATTATGATAGATGTCAAGCGCAGACTACTACTCTATGGCGTAAGATATTCCACATGAGACACATGAGATTAGTCCAAGAGTCGATCGCCGTACGCAGGCTAGACGGCGTTTCCGTGGGTTTTCTCATGGAGTTTCCGTGAGACAAAACCGTACGCACGTTTCCGTTGGGGCGCTAGCGCGAGTTATTTGGCATTGCCAAAATGTGTGAACGCAACGTCCAAAAAAGGTAGCGTTCTGTTGGCTCATAACTGAGCTAGAACTGTGAAAGACTGACGTGTTGGTAACATTGGAAACCTCAGCCAGACATGAGTGCAACGCTAGGGAGTCAAAAAAGCTCTCCTCCTCTGTCACCCTTTCTTACAGTCCACATAAAACTCCCATCCCCTTCCGTGTGTTATGTGAGTTATGAATGGCCCAAAACAGAAACAACCGCACATAACCAAAATAAAAAGCTATCATATGCGCCTATGCATGCGCGGCACGTAACGTTAGCATTTCCGCCAGCCTTAACTCCCTTGATCTTCGTGTTACAACGTTAAGGCCATATCAAACACAGGTTGCTTTTGCGCTCGACTGTAGATACCTTACAGGCCGAGGATGTTAACAGCAGTTTTTAGTCACATTTGCTGGGCTGATGCAAACGTGGACTTGATCTGTTTAGACCAGGCGTTTTTTCTCTAGTATTTATGGGGCGGTGGCTCCATCGAACGATGCCAAGGTCTGATTCGCTCTCACCCACCCAGTGACCAGATTCGTCAGCTTCACGGAGTACACCAACACCAACTCCACGGAGTACGCAGACCTGTGGGTAGACTTATTTTGTGGTTTTCGGTGCCTAGGTCTTCACCTTTGCTCAAAACAAAGCCAAACAAGGTCAAACTCTACATCGGGGCCCGAAATGTCTCCAGACCTTCCGATATAACCACCTTTAACCTAGATATGTTTCAAAATATTATTGACCTGGGACATTGTAAATGTAAAAAGACAAAATACAACAAGCTTGCTTGTATTCAACGTGAGCTTTCGGGACAATTTATGCCGTCTGCAGCCTTAGTCAATGATATTCATGAAAACAGATTTTGGTCGCATCATGAAAAAAGCTCGAAGTAACATGCCACCTAATTTACCCACTCCTATTATGCAACAAAACAAAGATAGATGACCGGTTTTACATTTCACACGCAGATAAACAATGCAAACCGTTAATGAAGAATACATGCGACGCACCCACAATTTCGATACGATTTCAGCTCATTCTTCTGAATGTTACGATGCTACATGACAGCTAACTGTCACGGCGCATACCTCTTAAACGTGTGCATAGTCATTCCACACTTCGGAATCGATTCAATAATGGCGCATATGACATCGCAACAGTAAACAAGATAACACAAAGGTGCACAAGTGCTCTGGCCCCAGGCCTGTTATCATGTCCCATATTACGCAAGGCCCCTGACCGACTGCTCTTTTTTCTGTTCTAGTCCTGGCATTTCAAAATTCGATTTCCAATCGCTATCGTTACCCCCGGTTTTGCATTCCAAAGTTTGTCTCTGGTTGTTCTAGAAATGAAAATACCCTCCTTAATCTTTCTTTTTCTCCAGTTGTCTTATAATGCAAAATTCCCCCCGCTCTCCTCTCACGCGCTGCGATAACTCGTATCCAGAACGTGCTTCGATAAGCCAGAATGGTTTATATCTGCGTTTTATATCGCTCGCTGGTGTTCATCCCTTCTGGTCTTTAAGCTTCCACGCGTCTCTACCTCATAAACCTTGCTGCATTCGCATATGTATCGGTGAGTTATTTCTACCTTTTGGTCCGCTTTAACTTTACTTTGGGCCGCACTAGGTAACTTTTAAGGTTTGCATACGGTTTGGTGGCTACACGAGCGTGTGGTTTTAAAAGATGCGTTGCCTTCTGCTACTCCTTTCATGTAAGATAAAGTACGAAGGGCCGATTGTCTTCTGATGCGTTTTATGTTCTTACATGATTACGTTTTTGCCAAACTTTTAAAGAAATGTTTTGCGCACTTATTGAGTTCCAAAGCTTCGTTGATGTACCTAGCCTCTTTCCAATTTCTGTCGGGCCTTAATGAAAATATTTACGTTCGTTGTGCGGGCGATCTAACCACTGACTCGTGTTGATTGCTGCGATGTGGCATGAATTCCAAATGCTTTTTCGTATGGCCCATCTTCCTAAACACTTTTGTGCTAATACTGCTGTCTCCTGATCATGACATTAACATGTTGGGGAAAGCAAGAGAGTCATTCGCCTCCATCGCTTTGGTGAATTTGATACCTAGGCACGCGTCGTTCCAGTGCCCAGGGATAGCTCTGGAACATGGTGCTCTTTTAAAACGGCAGTCATGTCGTCTACAACATCCCCCATAATTTGACCTAATGAGGAAAAGTGTCCAAAGCCTGTCGTTCCAGATTATCCACAAACGAAGTGGTTACCACCATGCTGACAGCAATTCCTACCGCCGTAAAATCGCCGTTTATCTGCAAGTAGGTGGTAGCAAGGCCAGTGCGTAAAAAACGAGTATTACCGTTTACTTTCATCTCGGCTGGTACTTTGCGATTCTATTCTCGCTGCTCATCTCGTGGATTAGTCGTGCTATCGTTTCGCAAGCCTTTTCAGGGGGAATCGATGCGAAAAGGCACACTGCATCACATACCATAGCTTCATCTGCCACTATCTTCAAGGTGTGAATGAAAGCACCAAAGTCTTTGGAGTGCTTTGATATACTGCTCTGTGTAATGAGGAGTCCCGATAGAGGGCGATAGGTCAGGCAATTTGCACACGCGTGCGTTATCTTGCTTTGTCGTTGCATCATGCCGTATGCGTTGCTGCTCAATCGGTTCCGAAATGTGGAACGACTATCCACACGTTTAAAAGGTATGTGCAGCGACACTTAGCTGTCATGTGACGTGGAAACATTCAGAGGAAACGCATCAAAATCGTATCGAAATTTGGGAGTGTATTGCATGCGCTCTTTGTCAACAGTTTGCACAATTTACCTGCGGATGAATGTAAAACGGGTTATCTTATATACTTTTGTCACCTAAGAGGGATGGGCACATTAGATTGCGTGTGAATTTCTAGGTTTTTTTCTTGAAGCACACCCAGATCTACTCTTCTGAATATCGTTTTCTGACCAAGGCTGAAGAAGGGATAGAGGTTTTCTCGAAAGCTCTCGTTAAATACAAGCAGGCTGGTTGGAATTTTATCTTTTCAGATTTAACCTAGATGCCTCTTCCAAGCAAAAGTTTGCTGACATTTATTGCAGGTTTATTAACTTGCTTGCCCTCCTGAGGGTCACGGTAACAACAAGAACCCACGAGGTTGTTTTGATCTTTTCAAATCGAATAAGCTTCAAGGATTACGCTAGGTGGTATGTTCCAAAATGTATAGAGTTAATCGGTGTCATTTTAGGTCGTTAACCTCTTCTAGCTACCCTGAGGTCCAGACGAGATGTACGGTGAGGTCTATGTGATCAAGAAATTTGAAATGGACGTTGACAATTATCCCCTCATGCAAGTTGTCCAGTTAAAAAGACTGTTAAGTTTTGCCCATTGCTTGACATTAACAACTGACCCACAGCCAATGGAATTTATCATAACTGTTAATTAAATTGTGTATCTAAGAAATCATTTCAAAGATGAATTGCTCCGTCTCATAATCCGCTGTTGCGTGGGATTGGACAATTCCTTAGTTTATTGTCGCTGACAGCATGATTTGACTTTCACATCCCAAAGGTCAGCAACCTTTCAAGGTACGTCTAACTTTAGTGCCAAGAAATCGGATATTCCATTGCCTGCGACTATGCAAAGTTTAACTCGGCTTCGCCGGGCTATTCGGAAGTTACTGTAGAAAATTTCGAGGACAGGGAAAAATTACCTCCATTACCCCAGTGCTGGTTAATGCTCGTGGTAACACGACACCGTACTTCGGAACAACACCAGAATACGACGCACGTACCATGTTTGGAAGCCGATGTCCGTCTCACTGTCGTCGCCAGGTGTCACATCGCGTCTGTAGCGCGATAACGAGGACGCCTGATGCCGATAGCGCATGCGCAGTGTGAACAGTGGAACGGGACGGAGTCCCGATGAGATGGCACATTGGCGCGCCTCGTACGTAAGGAGTCGCATAGTAGGGTTGCGATTCTGTACTTTTGCCACCTGTATGAACGTTATAGTGTGTCTTGAACAGACGTTTTCTCGAGAAACGAAACTGGCACTTTCATTTTGTTCATGAATCATTCAAACAAGTAGATTTTTATTTTTATTTAACACCAACGGAAAAAAACGGTACTAAAGTAACTGCAACAACGCGACCATGTTTTGAGAAAAATGAGGGATATGTCCACCGCCCAGCGGACCCATGCCGACACGTCATCCCACCCAGCAGTGTCCAGCCTTGGGAGTAATCGATCCTTGCCAACAAACGCTCATGACCTGACCCAAACCGCACTCGCAGCCAACCGCTTCGGTGCGTGCGATCGGCGGCTACCGTTATTTGAAATGGCTTTTAGGTGGACATCAAATGTGTTCCAGAAAATGACAAACACTTTGTGGTTGATCCCGAGAAAATATGGCGAGTTAACCACGCAGCTCGGTAAGCAAGAGGGCACCGAGCGTGCAAACAAGGTGTTTGGCGTGAGACCACGCGCATTGCAACTCAAATGAGATATATGCACGTACAATATAGTGTGTACATGCTGTGCGATGAAGTACACGATAGCATGCTAGGTAGTTAGGCCCACACCAAAAACGTTTTTGATGTGCTTCTGCCACCAAGAACAAACGCCCAGTAACACAAAAGGGTTAATTTTGCACCGGATAGCATAAGCTCCGCAACAGCAGCGTACCCCGCTTTCTCTCGAGCTATAGCAGCAGGCTTGCTAAGGATAAAAAATATACTAAGCATCCTCTCTAACATGCATCTTCCTGCATTATGGATCACAAACATAAAACCACACGTACGTTGCAGAAGGTGAACTGTGACGCAGCAGTGGAAAATAGTTTGCACCATGATAATGAGCTTGTGAACTACTTCAAGGCCAGGTTTGAAGAGCATTGTAATAGTTTGATGTTGAATGTGAATAGGACTGAGTGTGTGAGCTGTTTTCACCTGCGTGACGCAGCAAATAGCTCATCTGTGATCGCAGTTGTCTGCAGTTGGACGTTACTATTCACTTCACAGTTGGAGGAAGAGGGGGAGCAGCATTGCTCGCCGTTCTCGCCACCGGCTTATCAGTGCGTGTATTGGGGATGAGTAGGAGACATCAGTTATTATCGGAAAACAATGCCGGTGCACGTGGGTGACAGCTCGCAATGAACGTGCGTAGTGCGCAGGCGTAACGTTGACTGTGAGGATTGCGGTCCGAACGTGATGACAAGCCGCAGGCTGCCGCTATCAGACGTGTTCGTTGATCAGAGTTTCTACATGCCTGGGCGTTGGCTGCACATGTCATGTTGCTCCGAATCGGAATACCTTGTCTCAACGTCGATCATTCGTCCACGAGTAATGCTTTATGGATCATATATTTTGGCGACAATTTGTAATGATCCCGTTAAAGACACGCTCATTAGACTTTTTTTACCACGCAGATGTAATTTCATCGATCTCATGCACAAATTTGGTAAAGCAAAGCAAGCATCCAAATATTAAATGTCAGACCGCTGCAGGGTGGCATTAGAAAGTGTATGAGCTTAAAAAAAGTGCATGGGACGATTGCTCAAATACTATTCGTGAAGGCCTGGATCATAAACCATGTGATCAGTCAACTAGAGGCGACATATAACACTACCCAGCTCACTGTCCAACTCCTTGATCTCCCACTTATGCGGTGCGCAGTCTCCTGCTGACTACGGCAATCGCTAATGTCTTCTCAGTCATTCTGTCTGGGCACACTGGCTAGGCACACTCGCCGCAATCCACGACCAACGGGCACTTGGAGATATATTTGTCAGCGCATGCAGCTACCACATGTAGCTAATGACGACCCAGGACTTCCGTACGCGCGCACGGCAAGTGGGTGGTAAACACGGATTGACGAAGCCTTTAAATGAAAGCCATTAACTGTGTTTAAAGTATGCTAACTACAGACACATATCGAGCTTTGCTTAGCTTGCCAATGCGTGTTCTCGCAACACCCATGATGTAGCCCGGCTGCTGCTAACCAAAAGTCTGTTTGGTTGCGGCAACCTAATGCTGGTCTCATATGCATAAAGCCATTAAACAGTATGCTATATCAAACATTATTGTGGAATAAACGCAAGCCGGACGAATCAACGCACGTAATGAGAGTGTTCCAAATGTTTAATTGGCATCATGTAGCCAAGATAGCATATAGACAGCCTCGATGTGCATACACACCTGATGACAAATCAACTTGTCAATGTCGAATAGGCAACCGCCATTCTTTCCGATACTTGTACTACAGCACTTGTGGGCACGCTGTAAAGATGGCATGCAGCTAGTCACGTTTGAACCGTTTGGTTTTCGTTTGCGCCGGACCTGTCTTCCGCCCGCACAGACAGCGGCAGCAACACTTGCCCAGTGCCACGAGCAGCTTCAGCACCAGCACCAGTACTGCCAGCAGGAAGGCGACCACGTCGAGCGAGTAGTACTTGGAAGAAGTTGAGGTCGGCGCCCACCGACCTGAGGTGCGGCGCGCCGCCGTGCCGGATCACGTGCTCCACCCAGTGCACGGCCAGGTCACGGGGCGGCACCGGCTGAGAGGCCAGCAGCTCCTGGCGGTAGCGGGACGCCGCCCGGTGCCCGGCAGACATGGCGGAGCGGATGGCCGCCTGCAGCGTCTCGGACGTCAGGCTCTCCCACGTCAGGATCTCCGCCACGCCAAGATCAACAGCGTGAGCCGCGTTACAATGCTGGTCTACCGTCACTGGCATGGCCACCATGGGAACGCCATGACAGAGAGCTTCCAGAACGCTGGCAAAGCCGCCGTGCGAGATGAACAGCCTGCACTTGCTGTCACCCAGGATGTCCTGCTGTGGCAGCCACTTGGACGGCAGGATGTTGGCCGGTATGTTGGTGCGGTCTGTGGTGTCCCACTTGAGCAGGACCTTGAACGGCATCGCACCGAGGGCGTTGAGCACAGCCGAGCGTTGGCCCGCAGACATGTCCTGAGGACGTACCACGGAGCCCAGACTGAAGAATATGTACTCTGAGTCGCCGAGGAAGCTGGTCAGCTCCTTGGACAGGGGCTTCGCGTCCGCACAATGCAGTCCACCCACCTCGATGACGTTGGGCAGCAGCGGCTTGTGGTAGTCGATCATTGGGTTGCTGTTGAGTAAGGACAAGGCTGGCATTGCGTTCGATCTCTCTGGCAGGAGGAATCACGCCATCGCCGAACTTCTCTGCAACCATTTTGTCCGCATACCTTGCGAAACACGATGCTGGGTGCGGAGTGCATAAAGACGTACCCCAGAATGTTTTTGACACGTTCCATAAAACCCATGTGGTCAGTTGACGCAGTGAGTGGAAGAGGTTGAAGAGCAGGAAGCGTCGGTGAAGCCCATCCCACTGGTCATAGCTGGATAGTAAGAGATCGGAGATATCAGAATGAATGGCGCCTTGAGCAGATGTGCCATGAAATAGAAAGGGTAACCGAGCGGACCAAACATGACCAGGTCGAATTTCTCTTTCAAAAGCTCATCGACCTCCTTGCTCGCTAATGTGGCACGTGGACCCTCAGACATGAATGTTGCGTACTGCTTAAATCCAGCCTGGATGCCCTTTTTCATTCATCTTAAACATGTTCGGCATGTTTTCGTCCGCATACAGCGTCGCAAGTTCATCCGGTACAACCTCCTTGATGCCTTTGACAGGAGTTGAAGGCTTGAACCCGTTAAGAACACCACTTCATGGCCTCGGGAATTGAGAGCAGTGCCCAATCCGTAGAATACGCCCTTTAGAGATTTCGCTCCGATGGGTGAGAACATCAAAATGCGGGCACTCTCGACACCGAAGACGGCGCAGAAGAGCAGCAGCAGAGCTCTCCCAGGAGACGCCTGAAAAGATCCAACACATGGCAGGTGAAGACGGCTGTGATGATCATGATAGATGTCAAGCGCAGACTACTACTCTATGGCGTAAGATATTCCACATGAGACACATGAGATTAGTCCAAGAGTCGAACGCCGTACGCAGGCTAGACGGCGTTTCCGTGGGTTTTCTCATGGAGTTTCCGTGAGACAAACCAGTACGCACGTTTCCGTTGGGGCGCTAGCGCGAGTTATTTGGCATTGCCAAAATGTGTGAACCGCAACGTCCAAAAAAGGTAGCGTTCTGTTGGCTCATAACTGAGCTAGAACTGTGAAAGACTGACGTCTTGGTAACATTGGAAACCTCAGCCAGACATGAGTGCAACGCTAGGGAGTCAAAAAAGCTCTCCTCCTCTGTCACCCTTTCTTACAGTCCACATAAAACTCCCATCCCCTTCCGTGTGTTATGTGAGTTATGAATGGCCCAAAACAGAAACAACCGCACATAACCAAAATAAAAAGGCTATCATATGCGCCTATGCATGTGCGGCACGTAACGTTAGCATTTCCGCCAGCCTTAACTCCCTTGATCTTCGTGTTACAACGTTAAGGCCATATCAAACACAGGTTGCTTTTGCGCTCGACTGTAGATACCTTACAGGCCGAGGATGTTAACAGCAGTTTTAGTCACGTTTGCTGGGCCGATGCAAACGTGGACTTGATCTGTTTAGACCAGGCGTTCTTTCTCTAGTATTTATGGGGCGGTGGCTCCATCGAACGATGCCAAGGTCTGATTCGCTCTCACCCACCCAGTGACCAGATTCGTCAGCTTCACGGAGTACACCAACACCAACTCCACGGAGTAGGCAGACCTGTGGGTAGACTTATTTT